TTATTCCGCCTTTAAAGACTACAAATAACGATGGAACAGAATCATTATATTTCTCAGACTTAGAGAAGGCCAATTGCTTAAACCAATATTTTGCGTCCATTTCTCATTTAAACGATACGGACAAGACCCTTCCCACTTTAGATGATTACACGCATTCTATTATTTCTGAAATAGCTATAACCGAAAATGAAGTAATTGATATTATAAGGAATTTAGATGTAAATAAGGCAGTCGGTGAAGATCTTATAAGTCATAAATTGCTCAAAAATATATGTAGTACTGTGTGTAAACCCCTATGTTTATTACTAAATAGGTCATTAGCAGAGTGTATATTTCCTTCCATATGGAAATCCGCTATTGTAATGCCTCTTTTTAAGAAAGGTGATACAAATTTAACTTCAAATTATCGTCCGATTTCTTTATTAAGTTGTATAGGAAAATTAATGGAGAGAATTGTTTATAAACATATATACAATCATTTAATAGCCAATAATTTGATTTATTCAAAACAGTCAGGGTTCCTTCAAGGTCATTCAACGATTTTTTTCAATTATTAGATATATATCACCAAATAGTTAAATCTTTAGATGATAGAACATTTACTTGTGCAGTGTTTTGTGACATATCTAAAGCGTTTGACAGAGTATGGCACAAGGGTTTACTTCTGAAACTTCAGAAAAATGGTATCAAAGGTAACTTGTTGAAATGGATTGAAAGTTATCTAATTAATAGAAGTCAAAAGGTCTTTGTAGGGTCTTCTTTATCACAACCACTGACTGTAAACGCAGGGGTCCCCCAAGGCTCGTTGCTTGGGCCATTATTCTTCCTTGTGTACGTTAATGATATTGTAGAAAATTTGCTATGTATAACTCGTTTATTTGCAGACGACACCTCTTTGTCTTGTACAACATCATCAATATCCGATCTAGAAGGAATTATTAATCATGATTTAGCTTTGATAAACTTATGGTCTAAAAAATGGCTTGTAGATTTTAATCCTAACAAAACAGAAGCGATTATTTTTACTTTACAATCCAACGTTAACAATCCAAAATTACAATTTGATGGCATACCGGTAAAATTTGTTGAAAGTCATAAACATTTAGGCTTAACTTTTAGTTCTAATGGAAAATGGCACGATCATATTAAAAGTATAACATTATCGGCTTCTAAATTACTAGGTACAATGAGAAAACTGAAATATTCCCTTAACAGGGAAACCCTAAACCAAATTTACATTTCATTTCTTAGACCTCTTTTAGAATATGCTTCTGTAGTCTGGGATGGGTGTACAAATTATGAAAAAGATACGTTAGATAAAATACAGCATGAGGCAGCCAGAATCGTAAACGGCCTAACCCGTTCAGTTTCTCTCCAAAATTTATATAAAGAAATTAATTGGCTCTCACTATCTGATAGAAGAACGTACCAAAAACTTATTTTAACATATAGAATTCATAATGGAGACGTTCCTGATTATTTAAGTAATATTTTTCCAGAAAGAGTTCATAATACAACACCATACAATCTTAGAAACTCAGATGACTTTTGCAACTTTAAACAGACGGACTCATATATTTTCTTCTTCTTTTGTGCCTTCGTCCGTAATGCTATGGAACAACTTGCAACCTGAAACAAGATCTGTAGAAACTCTGTCACATTTTAAATCTCTATTAAAGAAATCAATCTTTCGATCTACAGACACTCCAAAATGGTACCTTACAGGTGAAAGAAAACTCTCAGTTTTACACTGCAGACTAAGAAATGCATGCAGTAACTTAAATTTCCACTTATTCTGCAATCACTTGTCACAGGATGCAAATTGTTCATGCGGTTATGAGATAGAAGATGTTAACCATTTTTTGTTTACTTGTCCGAAATATCGAAATGAGAGAATCGATCTTTTTAACGAATTAAGGCAATTTCACCCTTTAAATGTCCAATTACTTTTAGTTGGTAACAAAGAGTTGTCTTTAGAAAATAATAATAAAATATTTTTGACTGTTCAGCATTTCATAAAAGTAAGCAAACGCTTTTGATTTTGAAAACAAACCAGCACAATCTCAATAAATGTTAATGTATTTTGTTTCATTTTTGCAAAACAATAGACAAGATTCTTTTCTTTTCTTCTTCTATTTTTTTTTTATTCTATATTTCATTTTCTCAAAATCTATTTTTGAATTTGGTATATTCGGCAAATGTACATGTTTTCTAAGTCATTGTAACGTAAATTATATATATAAAAAAATCAGTTAACATTGTTAAATACTATTCAAACTAGAGAACATGTACAGCCATTCATCTTTTTTTTTCTTACATAAAATCATTTTTTAAAGCCAAGTACTATACACGTGTGAGTTTTGTTACTTCTATCTTAATGATAGTCATTCATTTAAAATATGTTATTGTAATTTATTGCATCAGGGAAGACCCGTTGCTAATGTTGAGAGAACATGTGGGTCAACCATTTTGCCAAATATTTCATGTCATTGTATTGTAACTGTCTACATGTATGTATATGTCTTATTTTTGGCAATAAAATATGTTTAAATCAAAATCAACCTTCTAGGTCCACGAATGCCCGCCACACACACAAAACGCGCGCGCGCATAAATGGGACTTGAGAAAATACTAATACAAAGGCTACCATTTTCATGTTTATAGAACAATCAAGTACATGTCGTACGATTTACTAACAAATCCATCTTATAAAAACAGTATAACTTGGTGCCTATATCTTAAATTAAGGAAATAATCAGTTAAACTCATATGATTAATAAAATTCTTCCGAATTTTAATTAAGATCCAAACTTTTTTCTCCTAATAATCGATAGATTCATACATTGACCCTTTATTTTTGCCATTATGCCCAATCATTTCAAATATATAGTAGATTCCGCTCAACTTTACAATGAAAAAATAATCATAATGTGAATTTAATAATTGTAATAATGATGATGATGATGTAATTGATAATATAATAATAATTACAATAATGATTAAATAGTAATCATAATGATAATAATAATAATTATAATAATGATAAAATAATGACAATTATATTTATAATAATTGCATTCATGATTAAATAATAATAATAATAATATTAATAATAATAATAATAATAATAATAATAATAATAATAATAATAATAATAATAACAATGATAATAATAATAATAATAATGATAATAATAATAATAATAATAATAATAATAATAATAATAATAATAATGATAATAGTAATAATAATAATAATAATAATTATAATTTTAATTATAGGTAGATAGATAGATCCCTATTATGACATTTTATTTTAATTGATATTGATCCCTACTCTGACCTTTTATTTAAGAAAACAATAGACTTAATAATAGCCACTGACATGTATTCTTTTGTTAATAAATAGATTGTGGCAAGTTCTCATTGTAATGCACTATTTTGATATTTAAATTAAGACAGGTTAATGTGCTTGTCGGGCTTATGAATAGAATACTTCCATGTGTCAAAATTAAGTGTCAGGAATTAACAAATTAAAGTAATTACATATATCCGGTAATCATTTTCACATGTCCTTTTGTTTCAGTAACTGCGTGCTCTATAAAAAGCCAATTTCTAAGTACTTTGACATTATATTAAAATAGTTGCATGATATGATACATAATAAGAACGAATTTATATCTCAATCGTTTATAAGTCAAAGTAACAAGAAGAAACAAACTACATTCGAAAGTTAACAAACCACGGGTAAATATATATCACTATTTGTAATTACGTTTTAACGATAAATTGAACACTGTTTTTATGTCATAAATTATTCTTGAATTGGCATTTAAATTTTAGTTTTACTTCAAAGAAAATTACTTAATTTTTTCACTTCATCTTTAATTTTGTGTACTTTATCACATTGTAGTGTATTTTAACAGACATATTTATGTTACAATTCTCCGATAATTCTTTAAATAAAATAGGAATGTCATCAGTATAATAATCATTATTCGAAATATGGAGTTAGTTTTGACATTTACGTTCCAATAATTGGAAGCTGATACCATACTTAAAATTTCAGTAACAATACTGGATATACAAAGGGGATTAAAATTTACTTGTTTATCTTATAGGATTCAAGAACTGTATTGTGAAACAGAAACATGAGCAGGAGAACAGAAAAAAGCAGTTGTTGAAATGTGATGTCTGCGAATACAAAACGGCAAATATAACCCACTTAATAAGGCACACGAAAATGCATACTGGTGGTCAAATAATTCAATGCGATATTTGTTTTCAACTGTTCTCACGAAACTATTTTCTTAAAACGCACATGTCAATACACACAGAAGAAAAGAATTATAAATGCGAGCAATGTGACAAAGCATTTGCAGATAAAAGTGCTAAAAGAACTCACATGATTAGTCACACAGGAGGGTAAGGAATTAAATGTGAATGTGTGACAAAGCATTTGCTCGCAATAGCCATCTGAAATCACATATGACAGTACACACAGCAGAGAAGAATTATAAATGTGAAATGTATGACAAAGCATTTTCTGATAAAGGTACTCTTAAAACTCATATGACAGTGCAAACAGGAGAGAAGAAATTTAAATGTGAAATATGTGACAAAGCATTTGCTCATAAATTTACTCTTAAATCTCATTTAGAAGTACATTTAGGACCAAAGAAAGAGAAGAATTATGAATGTGGAATATGTGACAAAGCATTTGCTAGCAATAGCATTCTAAAATCACACATGACAGTGCACACAGGAGAAAAGAATTATAAATGCGAAATATGTGACAAAGCATATGCTCGCAATAACCATCTCAAATCACATATGGCAGTGCACACAGGAGAGAAGAATTATGAATGTGAAATGTGTGACAAGGCATTTGCAGATAAATATACTCTTAAAAAACATATGACAGTACACACAGGAGAGAAGAAATTTAAATGTGAAATATGTGACAAAGCATTTGCTCAGAAATATAATCTTAAATCTCATATGGTTGTGCACACGAGAGAGAACAATTATAAATGCCAAATATGTGACAAAGCATTTGCTCATAAATTTACTTTTAAATCTCATTTAGAAGTACATTTAGGACAGAAGAAACAGAAGAATTATAAATGTGGAATTTGTGACAAAGTATTTGCTCATAAAGTTACTTTAAAAACTCATATAGAAGTACATTTAGATGGGAAGAAATATAAATGTGGAATATGTGACAAAGCATTTGCAGTTAAAAGTACTCTTAAAACTCATATGACAGTACACACAGGAGAGAAAAATTTTAAATGTGAAATATGTGACAAAGCATTTGCTCAGAAATGTACTCTTAAATGTCATATGACAGTACACACAGGAGAGAAAAATTTTAAATGTGAAATATGTGACAAAGCATTTGCTCAGAAATGTACTCTTAAATCTCATATGGTTGTGCACACGGGAGAGAAAAGTTATAAATGCCAGATATGTGACAAAGCATTTGCAAATAAAAGTTACCTTAAAAAGCATATGACAGTGCACACAGGAGAGAAGAATTATAAATGTGAAATATGTGACAAAGCATTTGCTCGTACAAATACTCTTAGAGTTCATATGCTTGTGCATACGGGAGAGAAGAAATTTAAATGTGAAATATGAGACATAGCATTTGCTCAAAAGAGTATTCTTAAAACTCATATGGTTGTGCACACGGGAGAGAAGAAATTGAAATGTGAAATATGTGACAAAGCATTTGCTCGTAAAAGTATTCTTAGAATTCATATGGTTGTGCACACAGGGGAGAAGAACTTGAAATGCGAAATATGTGACAAAGCATTTGCTCGTAAAAATGATTTTAAAACTCATATGGCTGTGCACACAGGAGAGAGGAATTAAACTTTTAAATTATTTGATAAAGAACTTTCTTAAAAGGAATTTTTTTAAAGTCATAAGTCACATGAGAGAAGAATTATTAATACAAAATATCTGAGAAAAAAATTCTCATAGTAATAATCTTTAAAAAACATTGTTAATACACGCGTATCAATCATGCGAAAACCATTTGCTAATGGAATATCTCTCGTACGAATACATATAAAAGGGAAGTAACCTCAATGTTATTTGTTTTGTCATATGAGAGAGAAGAAAAAAAGATGTGGAATGTTAGTGATAAATCATTTTCTCTAAAAATTATATCTTGTAAAAATACAGTCAGATAGGAAAAGTTTTAATGAGATGTATGTAGCAAATCATCACCATCATCATCATCATCATCATCATCATCATCATCATCATCATTATCATCATCATCATCATCATCATCATCATCATCATCATCATCATCATCATCATCATCATCATCATCATCATCATCATCATCATCATCATCATCATCACCATCATCATCATAATCATGATCATCTTCATCATCACCATCATCATCATCATCATCATCATCATCATCATCATCATCGTCATCATCATCATCATTATCAGCAACAGAGCAGCAACAACAGTAGTTTTAGTAGTGGTAGTAATTAATATTATTATTATTATTATTATTATTATTATTATTATTATTATTATTATTATTATTATTATTATTATTATAGAGGATATTGAATGAGTGTAGTTTAATACTAAATTTATTGAACAAGTTGAATAAAATCATATTATGCGAGCCTCTGGCGAGCATAATATTGTTTTATACAACGAGTTCAATAAATTTAGTATTGAATCTACACGAATATGATATTCTATTTATCACATTTTAAAAATAGGAACAGTCAACTGTTAAAATGAGTAATTTTTCAATGACGCGCCCGTAGTGTAACGCTAACATTAGCGCGCTTTAACGCTATGATTCTATATAACGCAAATGTCGTCACGTCAAAGTGTTATTACACTAGTGTAATATCGTTTTTATTAAACGGCTTTATTACATTTCTGCGCCGCGGTTTATGTGATAAATAGAGGATATTCAAGTTTTTTCTATAAATACATGATTTATTTTCATCGAGTGGTATGAAAATAAATATTTCATGAGTGGCAGTAGCCACGAGTGAAATATGGTAATTTTCATGCCACAAGATGAAAATAAATCATGTATTTATAGAAAAAACTTGAATTTTCTGTTTATTATGTACATTTTTCTCTTTTTTGCGATAAAATTTGAAAAACTTTCCCTTAAATTTTGTGTACTGGTAGAATTTAAAAGAAAGTAGTCCGGCATGACACCAGTGAAAATACGGAAAATATGTTTCACTGCAGTGAAAAATAAATTTTTACAGTGAAAATACGGAAATGAAAATACGCGTTTTATTTCATCAATATTTCTCAATATTTCATTTATAAGTATATAATAAATTAATTTATCACATAAACCCTGACGCAGGAGTGTAATAAAGCCATTTAATAAAAACGATATATCACTAGTGTAATAACACTTTGACGTGACGTCATTTGCGCTATATAGAAACATAGCGTTAAAGCGCGCTAATGTTTGCGTTACACTATAGGCGCGTCATTGAAAAAATACTCATTTTAACAGTTTACTGTTCCTATTTTTATATATGTGATAAATAGAATATTACATTCGTGTATATTTAATACTATATTTATTGAACACGTTGAATAAAACATTATTATGCTCGCCAGAGGCTCGCATAATATGATTTTATTCAACTCGTTCAATAAATTTAGTATTAAACTACACTCATTCAATATCCTTTATATATAGATGATATTTGTTTAGTTCAGTGTAAGATTGGAATATTTTTCACAGAGTGAGCACCGATTGGCGCAGCCACGAATGAAATATGAACTATTGGTGTTGACAAGGTGAAATATGTTTCGATCTTACACTAAACAAAACAAATTTTAATTTTATTGTATGCAAAGAAACATTTTAAAAAGACTTTAAACCTAATAATGAATGAAAAGTGCGCCAAATGATAATACAACGTGACGTCATTTACGACGTCACGTCATTAAGTTGGTTCCCAGTTCTGTGCACGCTGGTATTTCACTGAAACAACGGAAGGGGATTAAATTAAAAAAATATCAAATTGATAATTTCACTGTTTAAAACAGTGAAATTACCAATTTTATATCACTTATGTATTTCTATAAACCACCGAAAAGCATGTAATAAAAGTCACATAAAAAGTATTATTTGATCAAAATGAAAATGTAAACTATGTAACACTCTAGATGATAAATTCAAATATTTATTTGAATGTCCCCTGTACCAAGAAATTAGAAATGCATATTGAGGAGACCTAACATACTAAAATTAAGAGAATTATTTGAATCTGTAAATGTATGGATAGTTAAAATTTAAGCAATGTGTCGTGTCAAAAGTTAAAAATAGAATATACAGCCTACTGTATCAACTCTGGCTGTATCATGAAAATGATATTTTATAAGATATGTTATTATGAATAGGGGAATAGACTTAGTGTACAGTGTATACAATGCTTATATCATGTCATTGATATGTTTTGAAAGTAACAATTGTATTGTTATTGTATACTGATAGGCAGACTGCCTTTATATAAATAAAGTTTATCATGTTTTCAAGACAGGCATGCAATTATTGTTCACTCGCTGACACCATTTTAAAACTTACTGTAAAATTCGAATATTAAACTACATAATTATTATAAGCTCAAAAGCTCATAAACTGGAATATTGAGTCTTGCTTAATAATGTTGATTGACTACATCGCAGTTGTAAATGTGTAATTTGAAATTATTTAATTGGAGTACCATTTTCTGTAGTATATTGGACTTTTTGTTTGAAAACTATATATATATTTATTGTGCCTAGATATTTTACAATTGTCATGTTTTATGAATTGCAAATAAACGAATTAAAATTAAAAGAAATGGTTTCTTCATCCTATTATATTTGTTTGATTTTATCAACAAGGTATTCTATTTACAGTAAATCGGAGACGAAAAGTGTGTCGCAAAGAAAGGTTATATCAAATAATAATAAAAATGTCTTTATACATGTATGTATAGTTACCCCGCGGTTACCGCGTCCTTGTCCATTCCGGTGTTTCTTTACACACTGAATGTCTCCAATCTACTGTTCCCACCATTAAAGTGAAAGTAGAAGTGCTGCGTTTGCGACCAGCATGGATCCAGAGCAACCTGCGCATCCGCGCAGTCTGATCAGGATCCATGTTGTTCGCTTACAAACCCTTTAATTAGTAGGGAAACTGATAGCGAACAGTATGGAGCCTGATCAGACTGCGCAGAAGCGCAGGCTGGTCTGGATCCATGCTGGTCGCAAACGCATTATGTTGGTTTTGTCGTGACACGGCTCATTTCTTATATCGAACTGCTTTCAATCCGATCGAGATCAATCTGAATAAAAGTTGAAGTATCAGGAAACAGCAACTTTCACATTGGAATAAATTAATCCGAATTCCTCTATTTTTAAACAAAGTTCTTAATATGCCATAACAGAAAAAGTGCCTCCTTACTTTGACTTCCAAACCAAAGAGTTGGAAAAAAAACTAATTTAGACTGATAATATCATAATTATGAGTTTCTGAAGCCAAATATAAGCAATTTTCAAACTATGTTACACCTAATTTAGAGAAATAAACTTTCTCTAAATATGGAGTTTTAAGGTCAAATGAGGTAAAACAACAGACTAATTAGAATTTTAACCAAAAATTAACAGAAAAATCATCCTAATAAGGATTTTGTATGTCCTAATAAGGAATTAAAAAACACATATTTTAAAAATTTACATCGTTTAAGTATCTAATTAGGAGCAACTTAGTTTCAGTAGCATTGTATTTCTCAACACCGAATTAGGTTTGTCCTATTTATAATTGTGTCTCTCGTGTCTGCTTCATGAAATTAGGCGTTAAAATCCAAATCACAAATGTTCTAATTATAAAGAAAATAAACATATTCCTGCACAATTTGTTTATGCTGGTTAAAGTATAATGTCGTAGCAGCCATATGCGCTTATTCATTTCTTTGAATTTGATTTGGAATAAAATATTTTGGTTCGTTTACTTAATGTGTTATTCGTTAAGCCAATACCGTTGCACAAATAAGGCGTTGTTTTTACGTTATTTGCACATTCCTGCGTTACTGGATATGCAGGGTGTTACTTTTGCCTAACGATTACTTAATTAAGGTAGTACACCCCTAATGCATTGTCTCCACTTTGAAGAGTATTCAAATAGACTAAAATCACTGTTAAGTGTATTGAAACTGAGGGGGCGTGGGTTCAAACCCCGGAAGGGGCAATTTTTTTTTCTTTCTTTTTTTTTTTTAACATTTTTTATTAATCTCTCAGACCCCCTATGGAAGAAAAAAGTGTTTTATTTTAATTATATAATTATTGTAGGTATTTATTTACTAAATAATGCCAAATTTAATAGCAAATATGATACCAGATATTTTCAAAGTTTAATAAAATAAAAACTAAACGGTAAAAGTATTTTATATTTTGCAAGACCAACCAATATACATTAAAGAAAATTTAGGCAAACTTTGAAAAAAGCCCCTCATTTTTGAAAATTTTAGGGATATTTTAAATAAGGCTTTTTACGTAGGGAAATGGTCAAATTAGTGTTAAAAGTGGGTGGGGTAGGGTTACATTTTTATACATATTAAAAACATTTCGTATTAAAACAATCATTTTGCTTGTTTAATTTGTTACCTAAATGTCATTATTTATTTCTTAACAATGAGCAAAAGGAAAACATTTTTTCATAATGATGATATATAGAGGATATTTGTTTAGTTCAGTGTAAGATCGGAATATATTTCACCGAGTGAGCACCAAAAGGTATATTTCACGAGTGGCGCAGCCACGAGTGAAATATGAACTTTTGGTGGTCACAAGGTTAAATATATTTCGATCTTACACTAAACTAAACAAATTTTCTTTTTATTATATGCAAAGAAACGTTTTAAAAAGACATTAAACCTAATACTGAATGAAAAGCGCGCCAAATAATAATACAACGTGACGTCATTTATGAAAAAAATCCCTTCTAATGGCAAAGTTTTAGTTCATAAAAATGTCCATAACTCATAAACCACACGGTAAATTTTGTTTAAATTTTGCATACAGGTGACATTTAAGGCATATAACTGTCCTATGTTGTCAAATTTACAATTCCTTATAGTGCCCATTAGGGGTGTACTACCTTATGCCTAATCGTATGAAATATATAGTAGATTTCGCTCAACTTGACAATGAAAAAATATTCATAATGTGACTTTTATAATTGTAATAATAATAATAACGATGATAATGATGATGATGATGATGGTGATGATGATGACCACGATGATAATGATGATGATAACAATAATGATTAAAAAATCATAATACTAATAATAATTCTATACTCCACGTGATTTTGTCACTATAGACAAAGAAGGAAAAAAACCGGTGTTAATTTGCCAATAAACACTGGTTAGTGACTACTTGTATATGCGGCTTTTATGTTTTCACCCTCGACTATATAGTTTACAAAGCCTTTTAAAGCAACAATAAAAAACATTTTTATTTATATTTTCAGTTCTCATAATGTTTTCTTTTCATATAATACCGAAATAATATCTCACATACACTAACGCCACATATTTGATCCATATCAGTTAATAAATATTTTGACAAAACGGCGCCAATCCGTAAGCAGCGTAATGACGTCATCGTAAGTAAACAACTCATTCATAAACAAGCTGACGTTATTTCATACATACAAGAATGATAAATGGGGCACTGATGTAAACACAATACGACGTAAGTTTTTTATTGTTGAAAACTTGATAAAATAACGTTTTTTTCTTATTATTTATTTTGTTTAATAATGTCTATATCTTTGCAACAGTATGGTGCGAAAATCGAACAGCGTCATACGAAAATCGGCACCGGAAGTTATTTCCGCTTTAAAAAAATAACATTAGTGATCTTCCTTATTTTATCATGATAGAATCGAAATAACATCGGCCTGAGAGGTGTATATCGGCTATTTAACACCGGTTTTGTCGTTTTGATGCGAAAAAATTAACCACTCAGGCCTACGGCCTTCGTGGTCAATTCCTACGCATCAAAACTCCAAACCGGTGTTAAATAGCCGATATACACCTCTCAGGCCGATGTTATTTCTTAATCATAATAATATCAATAATAATAATAATAATATTAATGAGTCATATACAGAGAACAATCACAATACATAAAAAAAGATAAACCATATATAGTTTGTTATTATTTTCTTCTTTCCTTCAGTAGGGAAGTAATTTATGTAGTGTAATGATTATTCACCATATTAATTAATATGTATAAAATATTTTTTTGTTTTCAATGAACAGCTAATATTTAAATTCTATTTGACTACGTGTTCTTTATAGTCTGAGACTAACATAAAATGATCCTTACTCTCACCTTTTATTTAAGAAAACAAAAGTCATAAGCATTGACATGTGTTCTTTTGTTAATAAATAGATTGTGGCAAAGTTCTTATTGTTATGCACTAATTTGATAATGCGTTTGAGATAGGTTATGGGGCATGTCGGGCTAATGAATAGAATACTTCCATGTGTCAAAATAAAGTGTCAGGAAATTAACAAATTAAAATAATTACATATATCCGGTAAGCATTTTCACATGTCCCTTTGTTTCAGTAACTCCCTGTTCTATAAAACGCCAATTTCTAAGTACTTTGACATTACATTAAAATAGTTAGTTGCATGATATGATACATAATCAGAACGAATTTACGTCTTTAAGTCAAAGAAACAAGAATAAACAAATTTCATTCGAAAGTTAACAGAACACGGGTAAATATATATCATTATTTGAATTACGATTTAACGCTAAATTGAACACTGTTTTTATGTCATAAATTATTTTTGCATTGTTATTTAAATTTTAGTTTTTATCCAACGAAAAATTTCTAAATATCTTCACTTAATTAACAGTCTTTATTTCTGTGTACTTTATCGTAATGTAGTGTATTTTAACAGACAAATTTATATTACAATTCTCCAATAATCCTTTATATAAAATAGGAATGTCATCAGTATAATAATCATCATTCGAACTTTGGAGCTAATTTTGACATTTAAGTTCCAATAATGGAAAGCTGGTACCATACTTAAAATTTCAATAACAATACTGAACATACAAGGGGGATTAAAATTTACTTGTTTGCTTTAAACATATTTATTCAACAAAACATTTAACAAGTGAACAATATTTACAAAGTACATTTTGGGATTGGGCAGAAAGCTATAAAGCTTATAAATGCCCTCTCCCAGTTATAATAATTAACAATAACACAATTCATGGCATTATCATACACAACGGTTAGTTGAAGTATTCAATAGTTAAGAGTTAAGTATTTAACAATGTAACATATGTAAGAGCAAACAGTAAAATGGAGAAAAAAAATGATTGAAGAATAAAGCAACTCACAAAAAAGTACAAATAGACAAACACCTATTTTAGTAGTTTTTGTTTTAGAATTTAGTAAGAAGAAGAAATAATATCTTATTTGAATGCTTACAGCTATATTTTAGCAGATACGCACAATAGATATACACTGAATATTTAAAGAAAAAAATATATTAGAAAAAGGAAGAAAGAAATGGATGAACAATGATGAAACAATAAAGAGGAACTAAGATGCATAATCTAGTAAATGTCAAATATGTTAAGAAATCTCTGGTTTTATGTACGCTAAAATCGTTTTGTATCTCGGATATATTTTTGAACTGATTTCAAGATTGATACATTAGAATCATAAGGTAAAGTAGTGGAACCAGTATGAATAACATTGATGGAAGGATTAAAAAATTGAGATATAGTACTTATTAATTCAGGTCGTAGGTTTGTATATTTAGGGCATTCAAGAAAGTAGTGATAAGCATTTTCTGTCGCACCAAATTCACACAAAGGAGAGTCGGTAATGTTATTATCAAATAAATCGGCAGAAAGAGAGCTGCATTTAGTACGTAATCTTGTGTGAAAAATTTGTAATTTACGCTCACCGTATAGAAAATGGGCAGGTACTTTTGACATATCAGTATTAAGAAGTCGCTTAAATGATGTTAACGTTGTAGCAGTTTGTGTTTGAGGTTGAAGAGAGTTGAAATCCCTAATAACAGAAGGTAAGAATGATTTATAGTAAAATTCTGTATTTGTACGGATATATTGTATGTCGTCTGCGTTCCTGAGAGGGTAACGGTGCTCACTGCCAATCGACGGAGGGACACGATCAGAAAGATAATGTGGTGTAAGGTTGTTTTTCGTTTCAAAAGATAGAATAAGTTTATGTTTGTGTCTCCTTTTTTCTAGGGATTCCCAGCCAATTTCATTCATGTGTTTATCGATTGATACGAGCTTAGTTGTTCCAGTAATTATTGTAGCGGCTTCTTGTTGAATTTGTTAGAGGTCCTTTTTATCACTTTGCGTACAATTATCAAAAAGCACATCTCCATATTCTAAAATCGGTCTTATGAAAGATTGATAAATTATTTCTATTTCTACTTATTATTTACTTGTTTATCTTATAGGATTCAAGAACTGTATTGTCAAACAGAAACATGAGCAGCAGTACAGAACAAAAGCAAATATCAAAATGTGATGTCTGCGAATACAAAACTGCCAATAGAACCCACTTAATTAGGCACACGAAAATGCATACTGGTGGTCAAATAATTCAATGCCATATTTGTTTTCAACTGTTCTTACGAAATTATTTTCTTAAAACGCATATGGCAATACACACAGGAGAGAAGAATTATAAATGTGAAATATGTGACAAAGCATTTTCTAATACTAGCAATCTAAAAACTCATATGACAGTGCACACGGGAGAGAAGAATTATAAATGTGAAATATGTGACAAAGCATTTTCTAAAATCAGCAATCTAAAATCTCATATGACAGTGCACACGGGAGAAAAGAAATATAAATGCGAAATATGTGACAAAGCATTTTCTAATACTAGCAATCTAAAAACTCATATGATAGTGCACACGGGAGAGAAGAATTATAAATGTGAAATATGTGACAAAGAATTTGCTCATAAATGTACTCTAAAATCCCATATGGCAGTGCACACGGGAGAGAAAAATTATAAATGCGAAATATGTGACAAAGTATTCGCTCGTAAATTTATTCTTCAATCTCATATACAAGTACATTTAGGACATAAGAATTATAAATGTGGAATATGTGACAAAGTATTTGCTCACAATGGCCATCTGAAAACTCATTTGAAAGTGCACACAGGAGAAAAGAAATATAAATGCGAAATATGTGACAAAGCATTTTCTAATAATAGCAATCTAAAAAATCATATGACAGTGCACACGGGGGAGAAGAATTATAAATGTGAAATATGTGACAAAGCATTTGCTCATAAATGTACTCTTAAATCTCATATAAAAGTACATTTAGACGAGAAAAAACAGAAGAATTATAAATGTGGAATATGTGAAAAAGCATTTGCAGATAAAAGGTCCCTTAAAAAACACATGACTGTGCACTCAGGAGAGAAGAAATAACAATGCGAAATATGTAAAAATGAATTTGCTCATCAAGTTTCTTTAAAAATTTATATATAAGTACATTCAGGAGATGAGAATTATGAATGTGGAATATACGACAAAGCATTTGCAGATTAAAGTAATCTCGTACTCATATGACAGTTCACACGGGAGAGAAGAATTATCAATGTGAAATATGTTACAAAGCATTTGCTCGTAGAAGTACTCTTAGAATTCATATGATTGTGCACACAGGAGAGAAGAAATTGATTGTGAAATATGTGACACAGCATTTGCTCATAAAGATACTTTAAAAACTCATTTTGAAGTACATTCAGGAGAGAAAAAATTATGAATTTGGAATATATGACAAAGCATTTGCAGATTAAAGTAATCTTAAACCTCATATGACAGTACACACAGGAGAGAAGAATTATAAATGTGAAATGTGTGACAAAGCATTTGTTCGTAAAAGTACTCTTAGAATTCATATGGTTGTGCAAACGGGAGAGAAGAACTTTAAATGCGAAATATGTGACAAAGCATTTGCTTGTAAAAATGATTTTGAAACTCATATGGCAGTGCACACAGGTAAGAGGAATTTAAGTTGTAAATTATTTGATAAGGAAATTTCTTGAAAGGATTTTTTTTAAGTTATCAGTCACACGAGAGAAGAATTATTAATACAAAATATCTGAGAAAAAAATTCTCAAAGTAATAAACTTTAAAAAACATTGTTAGTACACGCGTATCAATCATGCGAAAACCATTTGCTAATGGAATATCTCTCGTACGAATACATACAAAAGGGAAGTAACCTCAATGTTATTTGGTTTTTTCACATGAGAGAGAAGAAAAAAGGACGTGGAATGTCAGTGATAAATCATTTTCTCTAAAAATTATATCTTGTAAAAATACAGTCAGATAGGAAAAGTGTAAATGAGATGTAAGTAGGAAATCATCATCATCATCATCATCATCATCATCATCATCATCATCATCATCATCATCATCATCATCATCATCATCATCATCAACATCATCATCATCATCATATCACATCATCATCATCATCAATCAGTCTCATCATCATCATTCGTCATCATTCATCATTATCATTATCATTCATCATCATCATCATCATCAATATCATCATCATCATTCATCATCATCATCATTCATGATCATCATCATCACCATCAGTCATTTCATCATCATCATCGGTCATCATCATCTCATATCAGCAAACAGAGCAGCAACTAACATAGTTTAGTAGTTGTAGCTAATTCAATCATTATAGTTATTATTATATATATTATTATTATTATGTATTATGTTATTATTATTATTATTATTATTATTATAGAGGATATTGAAAATGAGTGTAGTTTAATACTAAATTTATTGAACAAGTTGAAAAAATCATATTAGTGCGAAGCCTCTGCGCGAGCATAAATGTTTTATACAACGAGTTCAATAAATTTTAATATTGAATCTACCACGAATAGTGATTATTTCTATTATCACATTTTAAAAATAGGAACAGTCAACTGTTAAAAGTGAGTAATTTTTCAATGACGCGCCCGTAGTGTAACGCTAACATTTACGCGCGTTTTAACGCTATGATTCTATATAACAGCAAATTGTTCGTCAACGTCAAAAGTGTTATTACACTAGATGTAATATCCCGTTTATTAAACGGCTTTATTACATTTCTGCGCCGCGGTTTATGTGATAAAAATAGAGGATATTCAAGTTTTTTCTATAAATACCATGATTTATTTTCATCGAGTGGTATGAAAAATAAATATTTCATGAGTGGCCAGTGCCCAGAGTGAATATGGTAATTGTTTCATGCCACAAGATGAAAATAAATCATGTATTTATAGAAAAAACTTGAATTTTCTGTTTTTATTATGTACATTTTTCTACTTTTTTGCGATTTAAAATTTGAAAAAACTTTCCCTTAAATTTTGTCTGTACTGGTAGAATTTTAAAAGAAAGTTAGTCCGTGCATGACACCAGTGAAAATACGGGAAAATATGTTTCCACTGCAGTGAAAAATTAAATTTTCTACAGTGAAAATACGGAAATTGAAAATACGCGTTTATTTTCATCAATATTTCTCAATATTTCATTTAGTAGTATATAATAAGATTAATTTATCACATAAAACCCTGACGCAGGAGTGTAATAAAGCCATTTTAATAAAAAACGATCTATTACACTAGTGTAATAACACATTTGACGTTGACGTTCATGTTGCGCTATATAGAAACAGTAGCGTTAAAGCGCGCTAATGTTTTGCGTTACACTATAGGCGCGTCATTTGAAAAAATACTCATTTTAACAGTTTACTGTTCCTATTTTTATATATGTGATAAATAGAATATTACATTCGTGTATATTTAATACTATATTTATTGAACATCGTTGAAATAAAACATTATATAATGCTACGCCAGGAGGCTCGCATAATATGATTTATATTCAACTCGTTCAATAAATTTAGTATTAAACTACACTCATTTCAATATCCTTTATATATAGATGATATTTGTTTTAGTGTCAGTGTTAAGATTGGAAATAGTTTTTCACAGAGTTGAGCACCGATTGGCGCAGCACGAATGAAATAGTGAACTATTGGTGTTGACAAGGTGGAAATATGTTTCGATCTTACACTAAACAAAACAAATTTTAATTTTATTGTGTTATGCAAAGAAACATTTTAAAAAGACTTTAACCTAATAATGAATGAAAAGTGCGCCAAATGAATAATATCAACGTGACGTCATTTTTTACGACGTCCACGTTCATTAAGTTGCGTTCCCAGTTCTGCTGGCACGTGTGTATTTTCACTGAAAACAACGGAAGCGGGATTAAAAATTAAAAAAATATCAAATTGATAATTTTCACTGTTTAAAACAGGTGAAATTACCCAATGTTTATATCACTTTATGTAGTTTCTATAAACCACCGAAAAGGCATGTAATAAAAGTCACATAAAAAGTATTATTTGATCAAAAAATGAAATGTAAAGCTATGTAACACTTCTAGATGATAAATTCAAATATTTATTTGAAGTGTCCCCTTTGTACAAGAAATTAGAATGCATAGTTGAGGGAGACCTAACATACTTAAAATTAATGGAGAATTATTTGAATCTGTAAATGTATATGGATAGTTAAAATTTATAGCAATGTGTCGTGTCAAAAAGTTAAAAATAGAATATACAGCCTACTGTATCAACTCTGGCTGTAATCATGGAAAATTTGATATTTTATATCAAGATATGTTATTATTGAATAGGGGAATAGACTTAGTTGTACAGTGTATACAATGCTTTATATCATGTCATTTGATATGTTTTGAAAAGTAACAATTGTATTATTATTGTATAACTGATAGGCAGACTGCCTTATATAAATAAAGTTTATCATGTTTTTACAAGACAGGCATGCAATTATTTGTTCAACTCGCTGACACCATTTTAAAACTTTACTGTAAAATTCGAATATTAAACTACATAATTATTTATAAGCTCAAAAGCTCATAAAACTGGAATATTGAGTCTTGCTTAATAATGTTGATTGACTACATCACAGTTGTTAAATGGGTAATGTTGAAATTATTTAATTGGCAGTACCATTTTCTGTAGTATTTTGGACTTTTTGTTGAAAAACTATTATACATATTTATTGCTGCCGAGATATTTTACTCATGGGTTTCATAGTTTTGATGAATTGCAAATTAACCAATTAAAATTAAAGAAAGTTGGTTTCGTTCATCCTATTTATAATTTGTTTGATTTTATCAACCAAGGTATTTCTATTTTACAGTAAATCGCGAGACGAAAAGTGTGTCGCAAAGAAAGGTGTATAGTCAAATAATAATAAAAATGTCTTTAATACAATGTATGGATAATTAGTTACCGCCGCGGTTTAACCGCGTCCTTGTACCATGTCCGGTGTTTCTTGTACACACTGAATGTCACCAATCTACTGGTCCCACCATTCAAGTGAAAGTAGAAGTGCTGCCGTTTGCGACCAGCATATATCCAGACCAGCCTGTGCATCCGCGCAGTCTGATCAGGGATTCCATGTTGTTCGCTTACAAAACCCGTTAATTAGATAGAGGAGAAACTGATAGCGAACAGGTATGGAGACCTGAATCAGACATGCGCAGACGGCGCAGGCTGGTCTGGATCCATTGCGTGGTCGCAAACGCAATTATGTGGTTTTGTCGATGACGCGACATCAATTTCTATTATCGAACTGCTATTCAATCCGATCGAGGATCAATCTGAATAAAAGTTTTGAAGTATCAGGAAACAGACAACTTTCACAATTGAATAAAATTAATCCGAATTCCTCTATTTTTAAACAAAGTTCTAAATATGCCCATAAACAGCCCAAAAATGCCTCCTTCACTTATGACTTCCAAACCAAGAGTTGAGAAAAAAAAACTAATTTAGACTGATAATTATCATAATTATGAGTTTCTGAAGCAAATATAAGCAATTATAACACTAATGTTACACTAATTTAGAGAAATAAACTTTCTCTAAATATGGAAGTTTAAGAGTCAAATGAGGATTAAAACAACAGACTTAATTAGAATTGTTAACCAATAATTAACCAGAAAAAATCATCATAATAAGGACTTTGTGTATGTCCTAAGTAAGGAATTAAAAAAACACATATTTTAAAAATTTTACATCGTGTTAAGCTATCGTAAGTTAGGAGCAACTTAGTTGTCAAGTAGCATTGTTATTTCTCAACACCGAAGTTTAGGTTGTCCTATTTTTATAATTGTGTCTCGTGTCTCTCATTGCTGCCTCTCAGAGTATTGTGGGAATTTGTTTGTTGATGTCATTTGATTTGTTTGGAATTAGGCGTTTTTAAATCCAACATCAATTACAGTTGAAACTTTGAACAGTAACAAAATTTCAATTGGGTTTTTAATTTTTTTTTTCTATGAAGGAGTAGCGAAGTCCTAATTAGGCCTTTAGAACTTCTAAATAAAAACTTTTGATTAGAAATTTATGATTTACAACAAGGACGCTTCCATACAAAATCTCTTCTTAAAACAATTGGTTGGAAATTTTCGACCGTGCGACAACATACGCGCATCTTGGATACGTTGGAAGGAAAGTCACCGTGCGACCATGCACATGCGATCTTGCGACCATGCACATGCGACCGTGCGACCATGCACATGCGACCGTGCGATCATGCACATGCGACCACACACACGCATCACAGGATTCCCCTTCTCATTCGAAAGAGTTGGCCGCCCCTTTATCATTTTGTTGTTTTGATCAGGTGTTGTAAGGTTCGTTGATATTTTGGCCTCTGTGTTATTTTTTCTTTTTTTTTTTTTTTTTGCTTGATATTTTGAATTTTGGAAGTAGTACAATTTGGTAAATACGTTGTTTGTTCATTACTTTAACCTATTGAATGATATCGGTTTGCTTTTGGAACTTGATCAGTATTAAAAGAGGTTATTTTCTGGTAAACTTTTCTGAATTATCGTAACAAAGGTAAGATGTTGATCGGCCATTTTCGATTACTTTCCACTTGAATAAAACACCAAAACAAGTGCACACAGTAGAAAAATAGACAATAAAATAGCTGGCGGGTATTCATA